CCACAAGCCTGGTCTTGGGAAGAAGCTGCAGTGAGACTCCCCTTATCCTTGATGAAGAGTAGCCCTATGAGTGACCTCAGCAGTCACTGCATTGCTGACTGACCATACCACATGCCATTTCTAAGTAGTCTTTACCCTTTATCTTCTGTCAGTCTGGTTTCAATCACAAAGTAGAAGGAACAACTATTTGAACAAACAGAGCAGATTTGCTTTAGTTCCCTGAATCCTTAGCGTCCAACATGATTAAGAATTCTTACGGCATACCTAGGGGGATGAACTTAGCTAAGATAATATGTTCATTCCAGTAGTAAGGTATGGATTTTGCTGCATAAAATTTAAAAAATAGCAGTGATCAGGTGGAATGAAAATTACCATTCTAGTATTTACAGCAGAAGTAAATTTATTAGTCAAGGCTAACTGCTGACATAAACATCCCAAATCTCAGTGGCTTTACATAATAAAGTTTTATCTCTCACTTGATTCGCAGTCCAGTATGGAAAGTGGAGGTGAGGAGATCCCTCATCCAGGGATTTCAGTACTTTCCTCTAGTTATTGTGCTATCTCCTGGGGCATTAACATCTTATACTAGAAGGACTGTATCCAGCCTTCGGACAATGAGTTCATATGGAGGACTGTATATAGGATTTTAAGGAATTAGATGTAGGAATAGTTATTTCACTTTTACTCATACGTCTTAAACAAAATTCAGTCTGTTGACTCCACATAACCACAAGGGATCTGGAAAATGCTGTCTGGGTAACATGCCCAGAAAGAAAAATAAATGGACTTTGGTGAACACATTGCAGTCTAGCCCCAATAGTCTTGAAAAAATCTATAGTTATTAAATTTATTTATGTAGTTTAGTTGCCTTTTCTCCTATAGGATATATTCTTTGGTAGATAATAGATATGGACAGTCCACTGTAAAATTGTGTTCAGCAGACCTTCCCATGTACCTTTTGATCTTGAGGTTTTGTGTTTTTGGTTTTTGTTGTTGTTGTTGCTCATTAATTAGATTTGGGTAAGTCTGAATACATTCTGTGTCAGCCTGGGTGTTGATCACTGGTTCTCAATTCCTTCCCACCCATTGTAGGGATGGTGGGGTGAGTGGGGAAAGTGCTGCTGTGTTGAATTTCACATCTGGCCCCCATTCACCCCGCTTTCCTTAGTCTGGCTGTAAGGGAACTTAAAGAAGTAAGTTTTCTGGCAGTCTGCATCAGACCTGAGAAAAGTAGATGAATTTTCAGGTTCTGTGAATTAGGAGGGATAACTGAACCAATAGAATTGGCATGAGTTTCTAATATAGAAGTTGATCACCAGACTTGTGAAAACAAATTTGCGGCTGTGTATTTAACTTTACTTTTTAATTTATGATTCATTGTATTTAAGTGGCCTGTTCACTTAACTCTTCCTCTGTGTTATTTTAATAAAAAGGCTACTCTATTTTCCCTCCCCAATTTAATTGAATTTAATTTACCTGTATTAAAAAAAAAGCGAGATGAAGATAGCTAGGTATATATAAAAGAATAAGCCATCTTCTATGCCCTTAAGGAAGTGATGGTATAAGGGAGGAGACAGATTTTTTAATATATAAACATTTTACTGTGTAATAGCTATACAACAATTTATAAGCATGAAAATAAAGGCACCGACCAGATTATTATAGGATAATTAAGAGGCCTGTAAAAGTTGTAAATGGGGCCTCCCCGGTGGCACAAAGGGTTAAGACGCAACTTATGAAGCTAGCTGCACCAGGGTTCCCTTTGATCCACATCCTTGCCAGCACTCATTAGTTCTAATCTTCTTGACAATAAGCATTCTAACATATGTGGAGTATATCTCATTGTGGTTTTGATTTGCTCTGCCTGATGACTAGTGATGTTGAGCACCTTTCATGTACCTGTTGGTCATTTGTATACTTTCTTTGGGACAAAAATGTCTATTCAGATTTTCTGCCCAATTTTAATTGTTTTCTTTTTTTGCTGTTCGGTTGTTTGAGTTTTCTTGTTTCTTAATGTAGGTGCTTATTGCTATGTACATCTTGTTAAAACTGTTTTTGCTCTATGTTGTGATGCCATTTTCATTTGCTTCAAGATAATTTTTAAATTTCAAGTTTATTTCTTCTTACCTTCATTGTTCGGAAGAGTTTGATTGAATTTTCATGTATTCATGAGTTTTGCTCCATTATTGACTCTAGTTTCATACTTGTTGTAGGGTCAGGAATAGACACAGTGCAGGTTTTCTGATCCCATGCAGACCGGGTAAAGGAGGAGTCAGAGTCCTGAGTGGTTTTTGCAGGTTTTTTATTGGGGTTCACCAGGCACATGGCAGGCAGGGATGCTGGGGGGCTGGGAGGCTGGCAGCCTCCTCCTCCTCCTCCTCTCCTCCTCCTCCTCCTCCTCCCTCCTCCTCCTCCTCCTCCTCCTCCTCCTCCTCCTCCCTCCTCCTCCTCCTCCTCCTCCTCCTCCTCCTCCTCCTCCTCCTCCTCCTCCTCCTCCTCCTCCTCCTCCTCCTCCTCCTCCTCCTCCTCCTCCTCCTCCTCCTCCTCCTCCTCCTCCTCCTCCTCCTCCTGCCTCCCAGCCCCCAGCAAATCCTCACTCTATCTGGGCTTTCTGGCGTTCTCTGCTTCTGCTGCTTCTTCTCTGCTTCTCTCTCGGCTTCTCTTTCGTCTTCTCCTGCTGCTTTCTCGGCTTCTGGCGTCCCTGTGACGCCGCCCTTAAAAGCACAGTCTTAGCGCAGGTGTGCCCACTTCAGGTGCCCACCATCAGGCATGCATTCAGGATCACAGGGTTCCCTCATCTATCCTGATGGCGGGAGGGCAGAAAAGCCTGATACATTTTACCTTACCCTACACTTGTGTTGCCAGCAAGGCACAAAGCAGGTTTTCTATGATCCGGGCACACTAGTAATGGAGGAGTTCTGGAGCCCTTAATGGCTTTTTCAGGCTTCTAATAATCTTTCTGTACCGTCTTTAGTCCGGCAACCAGGTACAGGGCAGGCAGGGAGGCCTGGGGCCTGGGCTTCTCAGCGCCCCAGGTGAATCTTTACTTTCTCTGGGCTCTCTGGGGTTTCCTCATGGTCGTTTCGCCAGTATCCCTTGTGCTCTGCTGCACTGCTGCCACACGCCTCTGTTCTCTGCTGGCACCCTTACGTGAGTCTTTCAGCTCAGCTGTGCCCACTTTTGCATGCCCACACCATGCTCCATGTGCCGCAATCAGGCACTCACGTAAGGCCACAGGTGTTGATCATTGATACTAATAGCAGGAGGGTGGAAAAAAAACCCTGATAACTTATATTTACCCAACAATACTATTGTGGTCAGATAAGTTATCAGTATGATTTATATTCTCTTGAATTCACTAAGATTTGTTTTATGGCAGAACATATGGTCTATACTAGAAGATGTGCCATGTGTGCTTGTGTAGAGTGTTTATTCTGATTTGTTGCATAGAATATTCTGTATATGTCTGTTAGGTCCATTTGGTATGTAGTGTTGTTCAAATCTTCTGTTTCCTCAGTGACACTGTGTCCTGATGATCTACCCATTTTTGAGATGGGGATACAAAAATCCCTACTATTATTGTAAGTCTGAACAGTTCTCATCACAAGGAGAAATTAATTTTTCATACCTATTTAAGGTGATGGAACTAAGTGCGTTGTTGATCATTTAACAATATATAAAAGTCAAGCCATAATGCTGTTAAAAAACTAGTTGAGTGAAAGAAGCTGATTGCTTATGTGAAGTTTAAGGTTATATGACATGCAAAACTTAGCAATGGTCTTAGAAATCAGACAGTTCCCCCAACCCCCAGGTGGTAGGATGGGAAATTGGAGAGAAAGAACAAAAGAGAACTTTTCAGGTTGATGGCAAACATTTTATATTTATACTGGGATTATGAGTATAAACATTTTAAAACTCATCAAAACTAGTAGGGTGAGTTAATTGTGCTTTTTATGCCACTAGCCTCTGTGGCTATCACTTCAGCCTTAATTGTGCTAATGCAGGAGGCGCTTAGTATCATGGGCACGGGGCGCACGTACCTAATTGTGGACATCGGGAGGATGAGCGTGCACGCATGCCTAGTTGTGCACACCTGAGTCTAAACGCCAGTGTTAGAAGGGCGGCATCACTCAGAGGATGGCTATGAGAGAACGTGTGGCAGCAGAGAGGCAAGGCCATGAGAGAACACCAGAGAGAGCCCAGAGAAAGACTAAATATTCTTGGAGGGCGAGGAGGCTTGGTTGTCTGCCTGCTTGCCTCTCAGTCCCCCTGCACACCCTGTGCCTGGTTGCCACATTGCATTTCTCTTGAGTCGGCAGGATTCAACACACACGGGGATGGAGCCCTCAGGATAGACTCAGGGGTGGTGCGCGGGGACCACGTAGTGCTCATTGCCGGCCTCTTCTCTGTGGGCGCCTCCAGAGTCCACGATGCAGGTGGAGAGGACTCTGCTCTTAGTGGGGAAGGCATTGTACAGATGTGGTGCCTGCTCGGAGGCAGGGCTGGGGGATGAAAGTTCCCTCACAGTTCTGCAAAGGGAGTCCAGGATAACACCGGAGGCCCCAGGGCAGCACAGGAGGTGGCCCAAATCCAGGACTGCAAGAAGGCAAAAAACAAGAGCCAAGGTCAGGAAGTTCTGAGCGGTTGTTAAAATCCTGAGCTGCTGGGGCACAGGAGGTAGATAATGTCCAGGGGCTGTGGGACAAGACCTCGTGGGGAGGAGGAGGTGGCCTGTAAGGATCAGCTGAGGCAGCAGACTCATCAGGGATAAAGTGGACCCCCATCTGTTGTTCAGAGCTCGACCAGTGGTGACACAAAGAGAAAAAACTGATAGTCCTGGACTAACAATCCCATGCAAAGGCTGCAAAACTTGGGCAGGTTGCTGTTATGTTTATGATACCTAGGGGTGTATAGGATCATTTGCACACCCCTGAAGATGAGTTCTACATATATTTCTAAAAGGCCAAACATCGGCTAACTTTTATTTCTCTCTCCCCTAGTGGATGGCTGTATTCACAGAGCAGCCGGTCCCTGTTTGCTGGCTGAATGTCGTAACCTCAATGGTTGTGATACTGGACATGCAAAAATCACATGTGGCTATGACCTGCCTGCAAAATGTGAGTAGTATTTTGAATACTTTTGAAATCAGATGAGTGCTCTTTCCTGTTCCATGCCTCAAGTGCACAATCGAAAGGGAATTGGTGATAGTGGAGACATTTAATTAATTGTGCTTATATTCAGATTTGATGTGGTAATACATTGTTTTCCAAATATGCCTCGTTACATATGTACGTGCATATATATATGTACACAAATATATATGAGATGCTTAACTATAGGTGATTTTAGATCTTTGACAGAATGTCTCTGAAACAGAAAAAAAAAAGCAAAATATACATTGTGGTATTTAAGTGCTGCAGAGTGACGGCTTCTGGAAATGATGCCAATTTCTCATCCCTTGTTCAGGTTTCTTGATTGTAGATGTGTTTAGAGCAAAGGAGATCAAAGTGATGTATTGTGTTTTCAGCTGCCATGTAAAGGCTGATTGGCAATTATAGCCAAGGCATCTGTCACACTTTGCTTTTAGGAAAAGCCAGTGGAATGTGCTTGTCTGTTGGTGTGAAAATGTATTTGCTTTTTGAATGTGGAATAGTCAAAATTTCCATTATATTTGAATAAAGAGAAGTATTGTATTTGATTGACCTTGTTGCTTAGTCATTTAGCCAGCTGGATGGTTTGGAACAAAATTACTTAGAGAAGCTAGTTAAAGGCACAGGTTTTTTTAATCACATAATCTTCAGGACCTGGGGTGGGGTGCACTATTAAGGTTGGCATTAATCTGAAAATTGGGACAACAGTTTTTTATTCCATGCATTGCTTATGTGTAAGGACAGGAATGGACATGGTGCAGGTTTTCTGATCCAGCAGACCGGGTAAAGGAGGAGTCAGAGTCCTCAGTGGTTTTGCAGGTTTTTTATTGGGGTTCACCAGGCATAGGACAGGCAGGGGTGCTGGGGGGCCGGGAGGCTGGCAGTCCTCCCAGCCCCCAGCAAATCCTCACTATCTGGGCTTTCCGGCCTTCTCTCGGCTTCTGCTTGGCTTATCTTCTCGGCTTGTCTTCGGCTTCTACTGGTGTCCCCGTGACACCGCCCCTAAAAGCCCAGTCTTAGCCCAGGTGAATCCCATCTACCTATGCCCACACCCTACTCCAGGTGCTGCTATCAGGCATGCGTTCAGGACCACAAGGATCCATCATCTATCCTGATGGCAGGAGGGCAGAAAATCCTGACATTTTTCTTTACCCTACATTATGATACTGCCTGGATCTGATGTACATTATGAAAAACCAAAGCTAGCATATTTTTTTGTTTTTGTTTGAGCAGTGGAAAATTTGGCTAAAAATGTTACAATACATTCTGAAGGATTCTGATTGGGCTCTGTATAGCCAGGTTGTATAAGGATGAATTTCTTATGGATATGTGGGAATGGCGAGAACGTTTATTATATTTTTTTATATTTGAGGATTGATAATAAGTATTAAATGGTGTTTTTCTTTTGAACATTATAATATTGCATTTTATATTCCTCAGTTTTCCATTCAAATATTATCTGCTACATAATATTTAATTTTATTTTTAATAATGACTTATTTCCCTATCTTTGTTAGTGTTTTTTATTCCTTGTGAAAGAATTAAATCATGGTGCCAAGCGGCCCCTCACTCCTATTTAGACTTTATATTGGTATCAAGTTAAGGACTTTGTGTACAATGGTGTGCAATAGTGTTTAGAGTTGTTCTCCCTCTGACTTAGAGACTCCGAGTTATAAATGGGATTCCCCTTTCCAGGATTATATGCCTCTGTTTACAAATATTGTTAATTTTTCCTTTTTAACACCATAGTAACTATATGCTAATTGATAGCTCCCTGACAACAAGATTATTGATAATTTTCCAATTTGTGTCTGTCTTAAATCGAGAGGAGGCCTGGTGTTAATTCTTTCACTATTTATTTCTTACATTGAGACACAGGTCAGAAATTTTCAACCTCAGATTGAGAATCACTGAGAATCATTCAGAATCACCAAATATGACCAAATAAATGGTGGCTCTAGTGTATGGATTGACAGCGTGATAATTTTGTTTAACATATTTGTTCCTGTTGACTTGTTTCTAAATAACTTAGCTTTCCTTCAATGTCAGTTTTTTTTCAGGGTTATCTAAGACTTAAAAATATTAACAAGGAGATACAATAATGTCAATCACTGTGCTTAGAGAAGTCTTATGATGGTCATATCTTTGAGCTAAGTTGTAGCTTTCCTGGGTGTTGTGGGGCAAGTCTTTGTGAAAAAGATGCTAGACCTGGAAAGTCAATTCTAGTCACAAAATCTGCATGAAATAAGATGCTGAGAGTCTCACAGATAATCATTTTGCTGTATGCTGCCCACAGGGTGTGTCTAGTAAAACTTTACCTAATAGAAGAGAAATTACCAGCTAGAATGTCAGTGCCACTTCATGAAAGTCACAAACATAGATTATTTGTGAACAGGGCTTGGTATTTCTGTGTATTTAAAAAGAAGATTGGTTTATATTTTTAAAAAAACATCAGGAAACAACACAAAAATGAGTAATAATAGCTTATATTTATATGCCAGTTTATAGTATTGCATAATCCCTTATATTTAAAATTTTATAAATGTGTGTGTTCATTTTCCTTTTTCCTATCCCTGAAAGATGTTTCTTATCAATTTGGCTCACCATATCAGAATCATTAACAATTCACAGATGTGCTTTTGTAGAGAGAAAGAATGAAAAGGGAGCTCATTACATACTGTTTGGGTCATTTTTCCACGCATATTTAATAATTCTGTGACAGTTTGACAGCAGAGACTAGTTCCTATCTGTCCTATGTGACAGCAGGTTAATCATTATAGGGGTACTAAAGCCAGTCATCCAGCTACCAGTGATAATATCTTCATATATCAGCAATTTTTTTAGATACTATTTTCTAGGTTAGTGACAAACGGTGATTTTGGATAGGTCTTGCTTTCATGCTTGTTAAATCAATGCATTCATAAATGCTTGTATTTGCATAAATTACACTTGTAGTCCATATTCTGTAACTCATCATGATTGGTAGAATAATAATCCTCAGAGATTTAGTTAATTCTTCACTACTTGGGTATTTTGAATAATATTTTTGATGTATAATTCCAATCATTCTTTCCAAAAGCAATCTGAAGAGTGGAAAGAATATTGTCCAATGTTTCATTGAAGCTATTGCTGAAGAAATGATTTTGGTATTGGTTAAGGAGTTTATATAATAATACCTTTCTGAGACTTTTTCTTTTGAAATATTAGATTTTTTTTGATCCATATTAACATTTAGATTTTTAGAAGGCTTTGAATATTTGAAACATTCCTATCCATTCTATCATCATTCGATTAAATGACCAACTTCATATGGAAAAATTTATCCATCTTTGTCATGGTTAAAGTCAATACCTAATACAATGTCTGCTAAATATATGCTGAATTAAATTGAGTGGGTGAACTAGCACATTGATTTTTTGTTTCAGAACTTTTTATCTATAACAATACTTTTTAAAAATGTTACTTCTACTTCTTTCTGTCCTACAATCCTTTCTATCCAGTACTAGTAGATTAATATTCCTTATGGTATCTGGAGTCGTAGTTGTCATTTACAGGGATCTAGGTGATGATCTATATGAAGATCTACAGGGATCTTTACCTTCAAAACAAAATATTCTGTGCTCTCTCTGGCTCACACAGATGGCTTAGCTGATTTTCATAGCCTTTGCTCTAGCATTCTCTCTACCTGGAATTCTGTGCTTTTGGATATCTGCATGAATTTCTGCCTCACCTACTTCAAATCCTCACTCAAATTTGATCACAGTTTCACCTAACCAACTTATTTAAAATTATTGCTTTTGGGCCTCCCTGGTGGCGCAGCGGTTGAGAGCTGGGTTGCGAAGCTGCCCGAAGCCTCTGCAGTGCTCCCCGGCCACCAGAGGAGGGTCCCACGTGGCGCGCAGACCTCTCCTGCTGCCCGCTGCTCCCCTCAGCAGTGTACTTTGGTCCTTCTCCCTGCTCTGCTCCCCGCTCTGGCTCTGGTGAATTCTCTCACCCTCCCACCCTTCTCACTGTACCCAGTGCATGTGTAAACAAAACAAACAATCAAACAAACAAATAAATAAAACATGCCTCTATTAAAAAAAATAAAATTATTGCTTTTATTTGTAATTGCTTATCTGTAGCATTTACCCTTCAAATATATTGTATCATTTACTTATTTGTTGTCAGAGGTTTATTTCCCTGCATCTTTTTCATTTACTAGTGTATCCATTTAGCTTAGAGAAATGTTTAACACATAGTAGATGCTCAAAATATATTTTACTGAATGTATAAAACCTAACTCTACTTTTTTTCAAAATCCTTCAGTGGGTTTTTCCTTAAATACAGATATGGTAGCCTCCTCTGGACCTATCACGATTCACTGCCATATTTTGAACAACTGATAACATTTTATATCATCTGAATTGATCACTATGTTATGTCTGTGCATGAAGTCCATATCTGGGGATATCTAGAAAATTTTTCAGTGTTCTTTTCTACTGATCTTCTAGACTCAGCTCAAATACCATTTCCACTATGAAATAGTTCTTCCTTGTGAACGCATCTAAAAGTGACTTTTTTCCATCAAACTTCAGAATATTGCATTTTAACACGCTGAGGACACTTTTAACATTCTACTTTTTATTATTATATATGCAAACTTACCACCTTGATAGCAGCCCTTCTTTATAAATGGGTACTAGAAAAATAGGTATCAAATAAATTGATTATTAAAGTTGGTTGACTGGTGGATAATTGGTGATAGGTAGGATAGAAAAGAAGAGCTCTATTAATGTTTCTAAGAAACGATGAAATTAATGTCGATTATTGGCGCAGCGGTTGAGCGCTGGGTTGCGAAGCTGCCTGCAACCTCTGCAGCGCCGGTTCGATCCTCGGCTGCTCCCCGGCCACCGGAGGAGGGTCCCACATGGCGCACAGACATTTCCTGCCGTCCGCTGCTCCCCTCAGCAGTGTACTTCGGTCCT